TTTCTCTCTTTCTGAGATCTTGGTTCTCTTGCAACAGACTGCTGATGCTCAGCTGATGCCAGTTTGGTTGAGTGTTCAACAATGATATCTGGAGATATTTTTATTTGTCTCCAGTTTCACTCAGAACGTTCCACGTTCTGTGCCAGAATTCTGACGTCATCTTTTGAACCAAAAGTGTGCTTTTGTACATGTATTTATTGGCATATGTCGACAACCATTGATCTAATCTGCTTCAAACGTGGCAGGTGCATCACTGGTGACCTGTGTAAGCAGACTGTCAAGTTTAAAGCACATCGGTTAACCAGAGACCGTTTTAGGGTCTTTTTGTTGCCTCCAGATACACAGTTGAAACCAGAAGTTCACATCCACTGTATAGAAAGACACATAAGACACATAACCTTTTGTTTCTCGCTGTCTGACATTAAATGAGACTAACCTTTTCCTGTTTTAGGTCAGTTTGGATTACCAAAATTATTTGTCGTTGCTAAATGCCAGAATAATGAGAGAATTTTTTAAAAACGTTTTTTAAAGTCAGAAGTTGACATTCACCAAGACTATCCATCCATCCACTATCTACAGACTGTAGATTAATGTATTAGGAGTCCTCAGTGTCAGGTCCGGAGTGACTGCTGCTGTCAAGCGACGCAGGGCGGCGGAGGCGCTGCTCACTGGCTGCGTCCCTCCGTCCCTCCGTCCCTCCCCTGCACACCAACACAACCACAGCAACACAGCCTCCCAACACAGCCACAGGCCGCACATGAAGCCGGGGAACTCGCGTGACGCTCCGGGGGCTGCGGGCTGCGCTGAGCCGCCCGGTGTGCGGGAGGAGACCCCGGGGGAGGAGGCGCGGGACCGCGAGGGGAGCACCGCGGGGATGAAGAGGAGCGCAGCGGGAGAAGACACCTCGGCGGCGGCGGCGGCGGCGGCGGGGAAGGCGCAGTGGAGCAGTGATGGAGAGGCTGAGAAGCAACCCGCGCAGGAGGAAGACACCGGCAAGTACGAGGAGGAGCTGGACCCCAGAATCCAGGCACGTTATGAATAAAGAGGATTTTAGTCCGCATTTATATCATGTTTATTAGTGTGTGCGTCACTAAGCGAAGCCGTGAATCATGAGGCTGTGCTGGGCGCCGACGCGCTCCTTCCACCGCCCGGTACCGGGGAGAGGCAGCCTCCAGCCGGTACCGGGGACATGCAGCACCCAGCCGGCACCACCGTTCATAGCTGCTCCATGTCCACCTGCCTTGTTGTGCGTAACATGTGGTGGTTGCTGTTGCAGGAGGAGCTGGAGCACCTGAACCAGGCTAGCGACGAGATCAACAAGCTGGAGCTGCAGCTGGATGTGAGTCAGGGCGGTCCAGACCTCAGGGCGGTCCAGACCTCTGCTGGAGCCCCGAGGTTTTCAGTACATCTCACAGCAATCACCATGTTCTGTCATTGAGCTGCTGGTGTATATCATGGCGTCAGCATAGCACCGTTACAGCCACACTGGGAGCTGTGGTGGATCATCAGACATCTCCTGGATATGAGACTGAAACATAAAAATCCCAATTATTCACATCCTCACATCACTCTAACTAGGTTCCTTATGATCTTTAGGGCTGCCTGTAGCTCAATATCTCCTTCTGTCCCTATTATTTGTGGGCAGTTATTAACCTCCACTCATAAGCGTCCCAGCCCGTTTAGTGATCCAGGATGTAACTCAAGTTTAAATTATACTATTTGAAGTTTACACGCTGTGTTTGTTGTAGACGAGTGAAGCCATCCACATGGTTCACTGTAGAAACTGGGTTCCTGTCATATTTAATGCTGTGTCCTGTTGTATGTTCTGCAGTAGAAATACAACGAGGCTCACAGGGGAACAATCTGATGTTTTCACCTCAGCAGCACCTTACAGACGTGATTCAGCTGCTGAGGCAGCAACACAAGTAAAGGATGAGCTCCACATCTCTGACTGCTGTCGCTAACAGAACCTACTGATCACTGGTTGGCATGTTTTATGGCTCAGCTCTCAGTGCAGTGGATCAGTGTTTAGACGGGGCACTGTGTTCCTGTTTAATACCCTCTGTGTAGCTCTATCCAGAGGAACTGATCCACCCGTGACTGGACCTTCCAGATGCAGGTGACATTATACTAGAATCACTGAGAAACATTCACTGACCTCAGATGATCTTCATTTCATTCTGTGTATGACTGATTAGATGAGTTGCTCTGCATTTAATTATTCAACATTACTTTGTAGGAATCTGTTTTCACTTTTAAAGCAAACTGTTTTTTATTATTATTCTGGTGAGTGTTGGTCTCCACTGATGTTCTCCTGACTCCTGTCATGTTCACGAGGAGACCACCTAGCTGGCTTATGCCCTGAAGCACCCTGCTCAGACTGTTAGACGTTGACTTGTCGTCTTCAGGCCTCGCTGTATGTATCTTGCAGTGTTTTGTCGTGTGTGTGCTCCCTCCAGGAAGCCAGGTCCAGCTACAGGAGGATTCTCACAGAGTCAGCCAGGAAGCTCAACGCTCAGGGCTCCCAGCTCGGCGCCTGCATCGACAAAGCGAGGCCTTACTACGAAGCTCGCAGACTTGCCAAAGAGGTGCGTGTTGTAGCTGCTCACGAGTTTGTGTATGAGATATACTGCAGCAATACAACAGTTTCCATGTCTGCCGAGGTCTGTCTCTCATTATTCTGGTGTTTAGTAAATATAAATAATGTTGGTAATCCTGACTGACCTACAACAGGAGCAGTTGAGTCTGATTTAATGTCAGACGGTGAGGAAAAAAGGTTTTGTCTTTTTATGCAGTGGATTTGTGGTTTGAGCCAGGCCTGGACAGGGAGAATAGAGGGTCTTGTTTCCTAAACCTGAGCTTTGGGACTTCTTTAGTTGTGATCAGACAGCATTTCCTTTTGATGATTTACAAAGTATGACATGTGTCACCAGTTACTGATGTGATGTTAGTTTCTATAAAACTGTTCCTGTTCTTGTTGTCTAATTCTGTTTATTCAGCCAATTAAGGATGTAGTTACACAAACACAGTTGTGAGAGGGAATAAAACTCTGCATGTAGCACTCCTGTCCTGTAACATCACTGATCAACTGATGATTATTTGTTCCAGTAGAATTAGCTGCTGCTGTCTGTCCCCACAGGCCCAGCAGGAGACTCAGAAGGCCGCCCTGAGATATGAGAGGGCCGTGTCCATGCACACTGCTGCCAGGGAGATGGTGTATGTGGCCGAGCAGGGCCTCCTGGCTGACAGGAACACCATGGACCCGACGTGGCAGGAGATGCTGAACCACGCCACCGCCAAGGTACCCACCCAGCCTTCTTAGTGACACTTGAAGCTTGCTGCAGTTATTATGAGGAACTAAGTGGACTCTGGCAGATCCTTTGAGAAAGCATGAGTTTACATAAACAGGATACCAGACGTGTGTGTACAGGTGTCTAGGAGTGGTTCACCCACCTTCACTGGTGGCAGCTTTGGGATGTTCTGATCAAGTTTTTTGCCCCTAATCTGATTCAAGCTGTTTAACATTTATTGTCTGCCGAGCCCAATTCCCAATCCGATGCCATTTTCCTCCATAATACACACTTCAAGTATTGTAGATGGACTGAGATACCAAGCTGCACCACTAGGTGGCCACCAGAGGGGCCAGCAGTTATGGGGCATTAGCTAGTAAAGGGGCAACCTGACAGCATTTTCTGTGATGCCTAACGGCCTCCATTTAATATGTTTAATTAATCAGTGTTTAATCAACTACGATAGTGTCACTATATCCTGGTGGCACATGCGACAGCTGACCGTGTTGCCATGGATTAAAATAGTCACATCTTTACAGGACAAATGTCTGATGTACTCAGTTAGCAACACAAATTAATCAGTTACTGAATGATGATGCTGCATTTATTAAGAGTGTTGTTTAAATTAAAGAAATTTTACATTTACAACCCCTGTGTGATTTAAACAAATTATCAGACTTGTACTGATACCAGTCAGTCAATAAATGGCCTTGATTGGCCTGATGCTAGCGTTAGCATTGGGATGTCCCTAGTGGCACTTTTTCTACACACAACTTCGGGACCCGAAAGCAATATCTTTCATCTTTGGACTCCTCGAGGCCAGTTACATCCAAGGAGCGCTCCTAGGATAGCATGAACATTTACTACAGGCTCTTACTAAGAGCAACCAAGCTACCACTCATCAGGTCAGACTGCTGACTAGTAACTACTCAGTGATCGGTGTCCACAGCCCCAGGCTCTGCTGCTTCCTTCTCTTCTCCACCCTCAACCTGAATCTAGCTCTAGTCCCAACCAGATTTTGCTGAGACCCGCTAATCCTCCTGCCTTGATCCCTTTAAAGTTAAGGGAACTTTTACAACTGTCCTCATCCAGCATGAGCGCTGGAAAGACTCTGTGGTGGAGTTTCTGACACCAGAGTGTGAGACGTGATCAGGAGAGAATTAGAAATGACATCCCGGTCCTCCAGCTATACACAATTACAACATCAGAAACCAGGTACTCTTGGCAGTCCGACTTACGCTAGGAAGGGAGGCACTGATGCAGGCGGCTTAACAACCGTTCTTCCTGTGGACTGATCACAAGATCTCTGCCTCATACAAGCCACTCAATGCTCAACAGGTCCAGTGGGATGTATTTTGGTGCCCTGATACCAAACAGACATTTATCAGAGAGGTTGTATGTAAATGTATATGCCTCTAACAATGACAGAAAATTTAAGAAAATGGCCTTTTTCTGTGTATGTGCTTTTATTACAAAGAGAGGAAGTGTCAACAATCTACTGTTTATTCAGCGCTAACGTCTCTGCTGCTGTTTCTTGACTTGTGAGCAACTTTTCACAGCACACTCTGAGCCCTTTGGTACAGTGGAGTGCTTTAATTGTTTTAGAAATATTTATTAACCAGAACATGACGTGCAAGCAACAATGGTCTAATTTCTGAAATGTTGTGGCGTCCCACAGGGGTCAGTCCTTGGCCCGATGTTGTTCTGTATCTATTCGCTCCCCCTTGGCGACATCATTTATAAACATAGTGCTAGTTTTACTTGCCATTCTGCTGATATGAAGCTAAAGTTATCTCTAATGCCCAATGACCTCTCCCAGCTCTTACATTCAGAACCATACAAGGCCTGTTGAATGAGCAGTAACGTGTAATTTCTGTGGTCGTGCAGCGTGCCTGCTCTCAGTCATGTCGTCTGTGCTGGGCAGGTGAACGAGGCTGAGGAGGAGCGCCTTCGCAGTGAGCGAGAGCATCAGCGGGTCACTCAGCTCTGCCAGGACGCCGAGGCCCGAGTCCAGACCCTCCAGAAAGCCCTGAAGAAGGTCATCCTCAAGTCCAAACCTTACTTTGAGCTCAAGGCTCAGTTTAATCACATTCTGGAGGTGTGTACCATCAGGTGATTTCTAACAGTTTACCACCATGGACAGCATGAGCAGGGACACAGACTTTGTGATACTGCTGCAGTGTTTAAACTCTCTGCACCATCACATCCAAGGAATGGATGGGGTTTGTCTTACACACAGACATACGTGGCTGAGAGGCATCTTAAAGTGCCATCCAAAGCATTCAACCCAAAGCGTCCTTCATTTGAAGTTTGAAAATGTCCCACTTGGCCTGAAGCTTTGCAACTGCTCTGATTTCCTTCCTTTAAAAAAAATAGAACCAATAAACACGACTAAAGGAGTATAAACATACAAACATTAGTTCTTCAAAAAACAACAAGCAACACAGCATGCAGGTCATTTGCCAAAAACACAACATTCATGGTTCCTGTACAGGAACGTAATTTGAACCAACCTTATAACGTTGAGTGATGACTGTTACTGCAAAGCCAGACATGCCACGGTTTGAATACTGTTGTTGTTTTTTACGATATAGTGCTACATCTATTTAATTTTAGCTTTTAATTACCTTCAACAACAGCCTTAGGCTAACATGAACCATCTATGTACACTTCTGTACTCCATAGTGCCTCGTCATATATATTGGAACTCTAAGAGAACTTTAGGCGGCTGTGGCTCAGGTGGTAGAGCAGGTTGTCCTCTTATCGTAAGGTTGGTCGTTCCATCCCCTCCACAGTCCAAGTGTCCTTGAGCAAGACACTGAACCTGAAGTTGCTCCCAATGGCAGGCAGCACCTTGCATGGCAGCTCTGTCACCTTTGGTGTATGAATGTGATCCACTCTCAGATGTATGTCGCTTTGGATAAAAGCGTCTGCTAAATGAAGTTGTAAATTGTAAACTTTGAAGACTTTCCCATCGCTGAGTGTGTCTGTGTCAGCCACGCTAACCGTCTGTTGACTGTTTTTCAGGAACATAAGGCTAAAGTAGTGCAGCTGGAGGAGCAGGTGGCAAAGGTGAAGACACGGTACTCTGTGGCCCTGCGAAACCTGGAGCAGATCAGCGAGCAGATCCATGCCCAGAGGGGGCAGACCAGGGCCAGCAGGGGGCGTCCTGCAGTCTGCGGGGGGCGGAGCTCCCCTGTGGGTGCAGAGGCTGAGGTCAGAGCTGCCATCGGGATTCAAGTCAGCAGCTGTGTGGCAGTCGGTGGAATACAGAGCGACTGGGTCGACAGCGAGAAGACCAGGCTGTGGGTGGAGAAGCACCGAGAGAGCGGCTGGGGCCAGAAGGAGCGGCTGGAGGCGGAGCAGGCTGGCTCGGACAGCATGTCCGTCATCAGCCTGCAGACCATCGCCTCCGACCTGGAAAAGTGTGACTCGGTGGAGCACCTGGGGGACCTGAGCGATGCTGGGAGCGTCCTCGGTGAGGAGTGGGACTGCGACAGGAAGCCTCATGAGAAGCCAGTCAGCAGGGAGGTGGTGTCCAGCAGGCCCCAGCAGGAGGCGCCCCCCCAGGAGAAGGCAGAGGTCAGTAAAGTCAAGCAGGAGGGTTTCGTCAAGCAGCACCACAGAAGTGTTAGCCTGTGATCATCAGCAAGAGAGAGGATCGCTGTGAGTGTACGGTGAGGATCACAGAAGAACTGGAGAGCCCTGACTAGGAGGTGGTGGACACGCTGGAGCTCAGAGGCTGACAGTGATTGATGGTGTGCTGCACTGACACTGCATCAGGACGAGCAGGGAGGGCTGGCAGGTGTATCAGCCGCACACTAATGAATCCTTACGTGACAGCAATAACCAGACAGAGCAGCGCTGCAGAGAGCACTGACTCCCCTCAGCTCTGAAGCGTCTGATCCAGTCAGGAGCTCCACGGCTGAGAACATCAGATGAACAACAGCAGCAGCGTACAACAGGCACTTTAACGCAAACAGAACCAACACATCCTCGTGTTTCATTCATCAACCCTATGTTGTCATGGAACAGGTTTGTGTTTGTTTCAGGGATGGACAGACAGGCGGGTTTGTTAAAGCTTCTGATTCCCATTTGCAGCTTTGCCATCAGTTCTTATAACGCTGAATTCACTGGAGAACAGTCCAACATGGCAGGAAACATGCTGAACAGATGAGCTGAACCTGCATTTTGACTTCCCCTGAGCTGTTCCTAATGGTTCCTGCAGTGCTTCAGGGTTTCGGCTGGATGGAGTGAAGCGAACGCGTCGCTCTGTGATGGATGTTTACAAGGAACAGTTTGGATTTACGGATCAGAGAAGATCTTCAGAAATGAAGATTAAAACATGTTATCCTGTTCTTGGTTAATTCTACAAATGAAGCTAACCGTTTGAAAGGCCTTATCTTCTATTTCTATAACATAATATATTTATTTAAAGTCACGTGGCCAAATATGACTTTTCCGTTGCCTTATGGAGCGACTGTAGGCCGTTAACTCACATGTAACTATGAACTAATCATCAGCTGAGTGTGTTTGATGGGAGCCTGTCAGCTGTAGGTGGACGTCAGTGTCGCAACTGGCCTTAGAGTACGCACACAGCATGTCTGTTGGCTTGTTGAGGTTGTTTACTGTTTAGTTTAGCCGATGATATTCTATTAAACTCTTCAAGGATCACACTTGATGAACGCTATTTACAGCTACACAAAGAGCTCTAGTCTCAGACGGTGGTCGTGTGTGCTGCCAGATGGAGCAGCAAAACCGCTGGAATTAATAATCTGATTACAGTTCCAGCTAGTTAAAATTAATGAGCTTTGTGGGCTAACACTATGATTTCTATAACTGCTGCTGCTGTCATGAATAATGAAAGTTTTTGTCTGAGATCCACCTGCCTGCAGACAAACTTTATCTCCAGCTGATGACAACAATCTGTTGAGAATCAGGATGTTTGTCTCCAAACAGGAGTCCCTTCTAAAAGTGGTTTAGTCTGTCAAAACAACTTCACAAAATCTACCTGGCCATACTTCGGGAAACTTGGTGGAGAAGTGGAGCATTCTGGTAGATTAATCGCAGCAACTGGACCTGCTTGAGTTCCTTGAAGACGTTCCACCTCTCATCCAGGAGGCTTCATCAGCTCTGACTGACTAGTTGGGAGTTCCAGACACTGATATCCTGAAGGAACCATTAACACCTGAGTTTTCGTTTCAGTTGGGGATTTGTTGCTCCTCCCCCTCGTTATGTGAGTCGTTAGTGCTCGTTATGTTCACGTAACGAGCACTAACGACTCACATAACCTCTGTATGAGAGGTGAAACGTCTTCAAGGAACTCAAGCAAGTCCATTCTCGTGGATTAATCGTAGCAAGTGGACTCGCTTGAGTTTAAGTCCAGCTGCTATGAGAAGAACCAGGACCTGGAGGACTGAGAATCTTCACAGACAAGTGGAGCATTGTCAAAGGAATACGTCGTTAACTTTTGGTGACGTTATAAACCGCTGTCTAAGTGTGAGAGGAGGCATCGACACTCTGGTCTGGCTCCTGGAACTGGCTCAGGTGTCATCACATGATCTGAACAGAGGCCCAGATACCAGCTGATATAAACGTACTACAGATCCATCAGACAAAGCTAATTTCAGAGCTCCTTCTCAAAAATGTTGTTTATGAAAAAATGGCTTTTGACTGACGTGCATTATGCTTATAAAGGTTTCCGTTCCCTCACAAACCACCATGAGGTCTGACAGCCATGTCCCAAGCTGTGCCTACAGGGACAAATGTTCGAGAAGTTGGTGGTTTTATTCATTTATCATTATTGTTTGTTAGCTAGCCAAAGATGACCCTTGTGCTAATTAACCCAGGCTGATTTTTACAGTGACATTAAAATAAAGGAGGTCAACCTTCATTCTGCCAACATGTTTAATATACCGGGACTCCCGACTGAGCTCTTTGTGGACCCGCCCTCAATGGGAGAGAACTCACAGTTATTTTTTTGCAATGTTTAAGGTGGACTGTAAGTGTGTGACTTAAAAGGCAATATTTGACACTTATGGGAGGTTTGAATATTGATCGTGCTCAGGTTGGTCCCACACAGGGAGTTCATTGTTGTAGTTTAATGTGCATCAGTGCACTGACATGAAACGTCTCCTTCTCCAGAGCAAACAGGAATCATATCTCCAGTACAGTTTTAATATGTATGTGATGCATGTTTTGAATTCTCTGTCTGGCCAAAATCTGCCTTTCAACACAAATTCATTGTCCGCCTGATGTCCTGCTGTATAAACTGAAATATTGGTGTGATCCTTATTCAAACCATCTCAGAGTTCATTTTGAAATAAGCATCAGACTCGGAGGTAAACGGTGACTCGCTTTTCCTCATTTGTGCATTTACATGTGGAAGCAAAGAGAACTAAAACAGGACGTGAAGGTCCAAATGTGTGTGTGCCACGTTTCACAGTAATGTAATTCAAAAAGTGGGTCTGCAAGCATTTACACAACACACTGATGTCATGTTAGTGTGTTTTATGACTTAAACCTCGGTTCAGCATCAGAGTGAATGGAGCGCGTCGGGAGCGACGGACGTCTAACGCCGCTGAGCATCACATGTATGTTGTTTACTGTGTAGAGGTTATTTTATGGAACTTAAACAATAAAAAGCTCACAATAAAACTGTAATTGATTCACTGTGTTTGATGGGGGGAGTGTTCGGTTTCACAGCTGAGTGAAGTAAAAGAGAAAAAACAACTTCTTTTTCCTGCTCACTAGCTGTGCTGTATTTTCTGTTCTTGTTGAAACTGTTGAGGACAGTATTTCAACTGGATTTACATTTTTGTGGAGCATTTAGATAATATACACAAAGAGTAGCCAACATGGTGGCGTTGCTGCTCCTTATATAATGAACATAAACATGAAAACATGCAGTTATGGATGTCAGAAGTGAACAACACATCCCTGGTTCCTGTTAGAAAACCAGCTCAGGCAGGTAGACGGTGACACTGTGCATCTTCATTTACAGCAAACTCAGACAAAACACGTACACATACTGTACATTAACACTAAAAGATTGAATGCAGAAGCCACAAAATCCAGAAAAGAAATGAATTAAATTGGAAGATCAATCAAATCAAATTCAAATCAGGTTTATTGTCATGTTACTGTACATACACAGTAGTACAGGCAAGATGAGAGAGCATTTCTTCAGGATCCAATAACTTAAAGCAATTTAATAAAGAAGTGTTTGCAAGATATGCCCTGAAGTAAGAATACTACCATTGTACATGTGTGGTGAGCCCCTGGTGCATGCTGATGTGGTCCATGTGCAGGGTTCTTCTGTGGACTTCCAGCCTCCTGAGAACGTCGTGATTTAACAGCAGGGACAGAATATTAGCGGTATTTTGTGCACAGTGGGAAGATAAATGGTCAGAAAATGGAAAAATAATAATTATGTTTTTTCAATTATTCAGCCGCACTATAAACACACTCAGCCAGCCCAGAAGAAAAGAAAAGAAAAACAGAGAGATGAGCAGAGGAGCTGAGAAGTAAGAGGAGATGAAAAATGTGAAAATCATTGGTAAGAATATGTTAGAAATAAAGAGGCAGCGTGAGGGCAAGCTGAAGGGAAAAGCTGCAGCATTTATGTGTACAATAATGAGGCCGCTTCATTTATGATCCGTTTGTAACTGCAGCAGGAAAACAGTGAAACACTGATGAGGGATAGAAACAGGCAGCAGGTCCTTATTGATGCTGCAGCCAGGTCTCATCAATACGATGATTCAGATGACAGAGACCTGATATTTAATAATCCACATTTAATGGTCCTGTTTCTTGGTTCTGATAAAGTTGTAGCAGTAGCCTTGATTAAGTTCTTATGAACAGCTGCTCTCCTGTTAACTGTAGACTGACACAGTCTCTGGAGGATGTCGGGACAGTGATAGTGGTTAAGAAGGCAGCAGAGAAGCACCTCTGGTCTTCTTCTGGTCTCACCTCTGGACAGTCAGGGGCTTTCATAAATTCGGCCATATTGTTAGAAATGAGCTGCAAGGTGGCTAAGTGGTTAGCACCATTGCCTCGCATATAATCAAAAATTATTTAAAAACAAAATAAAACCAGAGCAGCTCTACATCAGATTCCTGAGTGGTCCCTTGCTCTGTAGATGGTAGAACATAAATAAACAAGCTGTAGAACATTTCTTGTATCTGTACAATGCCTTATTTATGTTGTATTTTTAATTTATGTCACTTGTTCAGTTTTATTCAGTGTGTTGTTTATACTGAAATAAAAGCTTGAACACATGCAGTTTCTGTTATTAGTATGAAAGAGTGAACTTCACTGTGACGCCAGGGGGCGCCACCTACAGTCTGCCCAGGCCACCAGACTGGTCTGGACCGGCCCTGTGTACCCCAGCTAGCAGTAGTATTTACCTGTGAGTGACTAAAGGTGTTTTCCCACAGGACTTAAACGCAGCATCTGAGGTTGCGTCTCTCAGTGACGTCACCAGAGAGGGAGGGAGGGGGCCGCTGGTATGCGTGGACTCTCACGGTGCCGCGCTTTGACGGCAACCTGCTCCACTACCGTCAGTGAGCGGACAGGATTTCATCTGGGCCACGGAACAGGCGTGTTCCCCCCGGGTGCTGCTCAGCCCGGCGCCGCGTCCC